GCAGATGGGCCTTCCCAGAAGAATTCTGCTCCTCGCACAGGCCCCTGGTTGCTGATCCTGAATCAATTACTGTCTATCTAAAAGGGAAAGTAATAATAACTTCCCAACTAATTTTCATAGAGGTGCTGAAATGTCTGAAGTTTAAGTAAAGTCTGCTAGTGCACGTTTGTGCACGTTTTATTCTAGTAAACTTCCTTGTGGTGTTTTGGACTATTTAATAAAAAAATTACAAAACTTCAAAAGGAAAACAATGAGCAAGTTTAAATTCTTTTTAACCTGATTCGTGATTACACCACACAACCGTTTATTTAAGGGAAAAAACCCAGTAAGCATCATACTTTTCAAATCATTTTTATTAACAACAATATGGATTCAACTTTGTCAAGAAGTTACAATTAACATTGTAATGTACTGGCTAATGTCGTTGCAGTGTCAGTGGAAGCTGCCTTCGTGCTTTCTAAGCCTGTTACGAAACTGGCTTTTTATCTTTCAAAGAAGTAAAAATGCTTCCAATAGCAGATGATATTGGACATATCTGGAATTGTCCTATGTGTGGCCACAGCTGAATGAATGGCCACGTTTGCAGACAGATGAACGAACAGGAAAATATTACATGCTTCCACTGACGCTGCAGGGGACAATTCTTATTTCAAAAACCAATTAACCTTTTTAGACAGTGACAGTTTGTGTGATGCTGTAATCCATTTGAATTAAGTCGATTAGCACACTTGAAAAAAATGTGAAGCAGAAATATCTGGGGCAAATTCTTTTGTGACCTGTATTTCATTCAAACCTAATGAATCCAAAAGGATTGCATGACATAAGAGTCAGGATAAAAGTTGTCCCAGAGAGGCAAGTTCATTCCTGGTATAGGTGGGTTCAGTTCCTTTAAGGTCAGTGGAACTGAGCCTGATTATCCCAATGGAGGCTGAACTTCACCCAGCTGGGCAGTGAATTCATTGAAGTCAGTGAAGCCATCCAAGGATTAATTTAGGCTCAGGTGTTTAAACCCTTTTTTCATTCCTTTGCATTTATATTTTCCTGCTTACTCCTCTTTTCTGATTATTCGCATTTTCTCTGTGCTTTTTAAAAATGTCCCTTCTCTTCTTCCCTTTTTACATCAGTACTTTGTGCGTTATTTTTTATATAGTCAATGTGACATGGGTAAATTCAGCTAAGTATTAGTTTCCTCAGGAAATAACTGGAATATTACCATTTTCACTTTAAACAGATGCCCAACAAAATGAGGATTTGAATCTGAGCTCCTGATTCAAGAAAAATTCTTGAATTCCATAGAATGAATGAATTCCACAGAATTTTTGCTTGAGTAAGGATTGCAGGTCCCAATCCAGAAATACTACTGTACATCAGATGTTCTACTATACATCAGCAATTCAGTATGATTTGACTTATCACAGAAGAGCAAGTGAATTACTCATCACCATACTATAATGAGAGCAGTCACTCTAAGTAGATTTATCTCAAAAACATATGGAACAACCGTGGGCACTGTGAATAAAAGTGTATGATCTTTGCAATCTTGAACCCTAGGCTAAAACACTATATTCATATTTAAATAAAAAGTATAGATTATATAAGCCAGGAGCAAATACAAATTTTTAAACAAATAATAATCATCAAAACTATTCAGTTCTCTCTTCAATCAGGTACAAGAAACATGCAGATCAGAAAACAGTTATTTGGATAAGGCTTAAGTCCTGCAGCTCTTACTTAGGTTCAGTTTCTCTCTTCAACAATCAAGTGGACTGTAAATCAGAAAAAAAAAAAAAAAGTCATTTGTCCCTACTCATGAACAATTCTTATTAGCTGTCATGAGCTGGGCTTTAATAAGCAGCTCAGGACAAGACTTGAAAAGCCAGACAGGCCCTTCTTTTGGGAAACCAATGAATGACTGTTAGTCATGACACTGTCTTTTAAAGAGAGAGCATAGAAACAGGAAAGTCCTCATGAGGAAATATGAGCAAAGCTTATAAAAATCCAAACAAACAATTCTTCCTCTTCAGAATTTAATATATTCGCTACTCTTTCTATTTTCTAACAATATTATGTTAAAAAATTCCTATGTGATAAGACTTGCAGCTACAAAAATAATAACAGTGAGCATAAAAGAAAAAAAAAATAGGATTTTAAACCATTATTTGAAAAGATATGATCTTCTGGATTTATTAGTACTTTGTAAAGACATTAACATTTTCATACATAATTTATAGAACTCATTCTTTTGTGCACAAAATTGTATTAAATAAATTAACTTAAAATTAGAAGGACTCAAGCATGTCATTTAAGGCAAAAATACCAAGTTTCCGTGAGATAAATTATCAGCAAAACCCGAGGCCTTGTCTCTGTATGGAATCGGTACAGGCAGGGCCAATGCTCAGTTCTCCCACTGATGCCTTCTGGGCACGGTGGGGGTGCAACCATCTGCTCATGCAGGTGAAGGTGGAAGAGTGGAGTCCAATTCATGATGCTGTGATCTTTCGATCTCGTCAAGGAGGGGAGGGGACTTTTGTTACTCTCACACAGTTGCCATGTGCCCCGTCTCTTGCTCCTTAAATCAGCCTAAGCGCAGGTTTATGCTTAGGCCAGGAGGCTTCATATGAAAGGCAAGAAAGGCACCATAAACCATTAGGAAAAAGAAAGAAAAGCCTAAAAAAAGCTTGCTGAGTTTTTAAAATTTTGGACGGGGCTTTAAATTTACAGATTTGTCTGGATTAAAGTGGAGACATTCAAATAAGTTAATAGTGAAATGAACCGAGATGTGCAAAAAACCCTATTCATCTTCACAAAATTACTGCTGTAATCAGGCTTTAGTACGATCAGACTGACATAAAAAAAACCCAAAGAACAAACCAAAAAACAAACCAGGAAAGACTGAATGTGGTAAATTATATGGCAAATCAGTGGTGAGAAAATTGTGCTTCAAGGTGTCTTTCAGGATTTGACAGCTGAAGTTTGCTCCGGCATAAGCCATGGAACACAGTGTACCATCCGTGGACCCCGCATAATGACACAATACATACACTCTACAGTTAGCATGTACTTTCACATAATAAGGTTATCATGTAACATCCAGGAATACTTCTGTAAAGGAAATATGGAAGCAGAAATTACAATGGTTTCATAGTAAACAGATCAAGTCCTTCACAATACAATCTACAGCATTTAGCCATGGTTAAGACTGGAGTGACATGTTTGATGTACATAGTTAAGTTCCCAGCAGGTCTGGGCCTTGAGAAAACACTGCCCTGAGTGAGCTGGCACTGGCATCCCCATACATTCGGTGTTCCTGCTGCTAGAGGGAAGCTGAGCCCGAGTCAGGTTGTCTACAAGCCTGGGGTGCAGGTGGGGTATAAATCTGGGGGGAGGCAACGCACAGAAACCTTGTTCAGCTGGGAAGAGCAAAAGCCTGTTCAGGCTCCGCGAGAGTTCTCCCAGTGGCGAAGCCTTGCTGGGGATGTGCAGACAGGCACTGACACTGCTCCTGCATCTCAGCAGAAGTGAAGTGTAGGTTAGGATAAGAAAAAAAGAGGATGTATCAAGCAGGAAT